GAGTTGCGCACGTTGGCACGCTCGCGACTGCCTGCGTAAATGCGAAACAAGAAACAGACACGCGAACGCTTGCTATGACCAGGGGGAGAGGGGGAGGCAAGTTAGGTGCGCTCGCGTCAACATCTGACATCCTACCCCTCCCTCCCATCCCTTACCATGTCGCTGATTTTCTCTATCCGCGGACGCGTGTCGTAGCGGACCTGTGGCTCTGCGCGCGTGTGCGTAGTGGGTGGTGGTGCGCGTGCGTGCGTGCGTGTGTGCGTGGTTGTGGTTGTTGTGGTGGTGGTGTGTATGTGTGTGTGTGTGCGTGTGTGCGCGTGTGCTGTGGTGTGACGTGGTGTGGCGTCTTGGTGGTTTGGTGGTGGGCCAGGTGCGCACGTGCGTGATGGCGGTGGTGGTGGTGGCGGTGGTGGTGTGTGTGTGTGTGTGTCTGTGAATGTGTGTGCGTGTGTGTGCGTGTGAGAGTGTGTGTGTGTGAGAGTGTGTGTGCGTGCGTGCGTGCGTGCGTGTGTGTCTGTGTGTGCGCGCGTGTGATGTGGTGTGACGCGGTGTAGCGTGATGGTGGTGGGTGGGGTAGTGCGGTGGTGGTGGCGGTGCGCGGTGGTGGTGCGCGCGCGTGCGTGCGTGCGTGCGTTGGTGGGTGGAAGTGGCGGTGGGTGTGCGTGCGGCGGGGCGGGGCGTGGTGCGGCGCGGTGGTGGCGGGCGGATGGGCGCGCGAGAAAGAGGCCCGCGCTGGGGCGAGAACGCCATCCTGAACGACGGAGGCCAAACACCGATCCGAAAATGAGGCCCACGCTGCAGCGGGAGCACGATTCGGAACGATTCGGGAGCAGAAATGAGGCCGGCGCCCCAGCGAGAGCAGCATTTTGAAAAAAACGCAGGCGAAAACCCAGCTCCGGGGAATCGTGTGTGTAAAAAACAGTACGCGGGGGGGGGAGAATACGCAAAAGACGTCATCAGGGGAAGAGGGAGAGTAGTATTCGTATTGAGTAATTGTGGAGGGAGGGGAAAAGAGGGCAAGGGGGAGGGAGGGGAGCGCGATGGACTGAAGCGCGGAGGCCGGCATTACCCGTGCTGTATAAGCCGACTCACTTCGGATGCCCTCTGTTGGCGCGGACGTCCTTGCGTGCGGCGGACGGCCCACGGTCTAGGTCACCCGTCTGCGTTGAGAAGCACAGGTTTCACAAACGAGGTCGCACTGTGATTTGCGATGTTATGGTACGTTCGCTTTTGTGTGCAGAGCCATGTGTGCGATGACAGTTTCGTTGAGGCCTTCTCCACAACAATGTCGTTGCGCATTCTAAGCTAGATATTTACGAAGATGGAATGCCCAAAAGTCGTCGAACACACCTGCAATGACACGAGTCCAGACGAGCACGATCAGCTTTAAGGAGCCAGAGAGAATCCAATGAGCAAAGCAGCTTGCTCAAGACGGCGCTGTCGTAGATCCTGTATTTCCGCGTTCACCCAAGGGAAGATTTAGCCCATCTTTAGTCCAATTGTTTGAACGTCCTGCTCGCTTCCCCCAACCTTCTGGACAATTTGGTTGAAGTCGTCCCAAACTGTCTTGATGTCGTCTCCACCTGAATTCGTGATTTTCTTGTTCGTGGACACCTGCATCGGCACCGTCTTGTCCCAGTTCAAGTCCAAACCGTATCGCACTTCTTCCACGATAGCATTCAGCATCTTCTGGAGTTTTGCTTCGTGCTGGGAGGCCTGTACTGTGTCGTCTGCGTACAGCACGTCCCGCGTGACCACTGAAGATGTGGTGCATCAGTCGCATCGTGCAACATGATCCTTTGGACTGCTATGAGAAGATACCCGGATAGCGGACACCCTTGTGCGATCCTAGCGCTCTGTTGTCTTTCCGATGCAGTTCCAGTGTGGTCCGAAGTTGCAATGAAAAACGGGTCGCATAAGTGGATCGCACCATTTCCACCATTTCGGGAGGGAGCCCGAATCTTCGCAGTGCTTTGCACATGGAAGCAGGATTTACTCGATCAAAAGTTTTGGCTAAGTCCAGCATCAGCCGCATTATACCATCATTCTTCTTGTGTGCAATACCAATCATGCTTCTCACGAGCACGAGGTCGTCCCCAATGCCACGCCGAGGTCGGAAACTATAGCCTCTCATGCGCTTCTCTGATCCTATGCGAATCAAGCACTGATGAATCAGCGTCGCCAGTATTTTGCAACCAATCGAAAGCGACGAGATAGGGCCTGTAGTTAATTATCTTGTAGGCCCGTGTTTCCACTTTAACACAAGTACAACGTTTGCTCTTCTTCAAGATTCCGGGATCGATTTCCTGCTCCAGCATTGCTGACAAAACCGTAGTAATGTATCGTACATGCGAATGTTGCGAAAGTCTGATGGTACGTCGTCGGGCTCTGCTGATTTTTCTATGTTTCAATTGATTCAGAATTTCCATCAATTCCTCCATGCTGAACTTGTCCGGGCTGATGGGCGACACGTCCGCGATCGGAATGTCACGGTTTGGCTGGAGGTTAGGGTGTCGATGTTGCTATTGAGTTGATTCGAGAAAGTCTGCCATGATGTCTGGTAATTCCGCTGTGTCTGGTAAGGTTCCGTCTGGTCTTTTGATGTCTGCGTGCTTGGTTGCCTGTTGTTTGCGTAAGTATTGCAACTGCGCTCCAGCTGCCGCCGCCCGCAACATCTTCCAGCCATCTGCCGGTGTTTTGTTTGTTCTTTATATTCAGGTCGGGGAACCTAGTCGTGGCTGAGGCCCGCTGCTGCCATAAAGCTGACTCGTGCTCTCTGTTCAGGGTGCCTTCTGGTAGCATGGTGGGTTTGCTTCGGCAACGCACAGGGATGCGGAAAAGAGCGGGTGGGACACCGCCATTGCCGCGCGGGATGAAGCAGGAAAGTGGCAGGGATGACGCCGTCTCCGTGCGTGGATCGGAGTCCCCGTCTAACATAGTCATCAGGGCGACGCTGACTTCTGGAGTTCAGTCGGGCCTGTCCCCCTGCAGGGGGATTTTGGACGACAGTTTAAACTAGTAAACAAAAAATATTTAAAACATTTAAAATGGTCAAAAAATACTCCCCATACCATTTTTTGACTATTTTGGAGTATTCCTCCTGTAGAGGGACAGGCCCGACTTAATCCTGGAGGCCTCAGCTGCCCAACAAGGGGAAAGGAACGTTCCGAGACCGCGAGTCTCGGACCTCGTCGCCTCCCTTTCTGGCTCTGTCCAGAGTCCAGAGTCCTGATGCGAGGAGCCGTGCCGCCCTCCCCCCCAGCATCCCAATCTTCAGGAGGGGAAAAAACACAGACACAATTAACCGTCGATTCCTCAGAAAAGATGGGAAAATATGGGAAGTGGGGGGGAAGACGAGAACCCAGAAAATACAAGTAAATATGGGGAATCAGGAACCAACGCAAGGGTCGACACGACGCGAACTCGCCGTACCTTTTCGGCCCTCTCTGGGCTCATACGGCAGGTCCGTGCGGCGTTGGCGCGCCAGCGCCGCCGGCGAAGGCGTTCAAGGTTGCATTTCGCGACGCGGAAGCATCGATGTACACGGTGACGCCATTGGACCCGACTGATTTCAACCTTGAACGGTCGGGACCGCGATCGATTCAAGGTTGAACGATTGACGCGGTGTCACAAACCTCTGCGTGCGCCGACGCCGCGCGAACCTACTCCAAATCCCTTATTAATCGACCCACCCCTAAAAAACCGGACCCCCCTCCAAATGCGACCTCATATTCCGGACCGCCCTCTTCAATGGGGCGCCTTGATAAACCGGACCCCCTAAGTTCCAATCCAAAGAGAGCGCCCTAATAAACGGGACCCCACAGTCACAAAAATAGGCGCTTAAAAAAATCAGACCCGGGGGACGATTAATAAGGGATTTGGAGTAGCGTAACCGAGTGCGGGCGATAATAAAGCCTACCCCCCCTTTTCCCCCTCCTATTTTTTACTCCAGTCCACTAGGATTTAATTGTGGAGAGGGGCGCGGAGGCCGAACTTTATAATCCACGGGGAAGGTTGCGAATCGAAGTTGCTGTCATCACCATGCTGACTGGGCAACCGCATCCAAAAACTCGGAGCATGGCCCCGGGTGGCCTCACCACACCCCTCGCTGGAGTGACCAGTGGTGCGGGCCACCACGCAGGCTGCCCCAGCACTGGCCTTCGCGCCTGGACCTGCCCCCGCCCCGCCCCCGCGGCTCCCCAGAGGGCCCTCCGGCCGCGCACCGCGGGCCACTCTTGCCCAGGTCGGGCGGGGCTTAGGGCCCTCCCTCCTCCCCCCTCCTCCCGCCTCCTCCTCCTCCTCCTCCTCCTCCTCCTCCTCCTCCCTCCTCCTCCTCCTCCTCCTCCTCCTCCTCCTCCTCCTCCTCCTCCTCCTCCTCCTCCTTCCGGAACGCTTTCAGAGCGTTCCCGAGCGCTCCGGAACGGCCGCGGCGTCCGAGACATCCATAGATTTGCCAGATTTTACAGATCCTCGATTTATCCGGTCCGATTTTGTCCCCTTCTTTGCTTCTCGGAGGCCCCCAAGCAGTGTGGTGACCACACCGTTCACCGTGTGGTGAGTCAGTGTGGATTCGGGGACATCGTACGGTTTTGGGACTTGGGCCCTTCTCCAAGGATGTCTCGGGCGACTGGGGCCTCCAGGGTCACAAGCCTGTATGGTGACGGT